ATCATGCCATTAGGTAACGTAAAGGAGCGGGACCATATTCTACGGGAGGATGGGGTATACACCTCGTACTCTGTTATGTTGCCATTTAGAGCATGCTGCATCTTATTACGAACCTTAGCCGTAAAACCCCTGGCGCGCTCCTTCATTCCGTCGGACGCATGACGGTCGGTCTGTTGGCCTTGCACTGTGGAAAAAAACGAGGCACGGTAGTAGGTGCTACTTTGGCTATGTAAGCCTCTAGCGTTCCACGTGCGCGGCAAATCGATCTCGGCTGAACACTCGGACTTTGTACAAGCGGAAAACAGCAGAACTACAGCGAGACTAAGCAAAACTGCGCGATGACGCGCTGTCTCGGAAGCGCCCTGGTAGGGCGGCTTCAGGTGTGGAGGATTCTGTTGAAAAAGGGCTTTGACGCTTTGTACAGTGAAACGGTACCAATTGTAAATCCGACCATTGGTGAATGCGTACCAATGGTAAATCGTTGACAGCGTGAGCTGTGCATAGCCTTCACACTTCCTGTGGAGAAAGTAAGCAAAAAGGCGAAACCATTCCAGGAGCGCAGAAAAATCAAAAAGGGCCATAAAGGCCAGCTGTGGCGTGGCTAGCGATAGCCACCTGGGTCAGGCACAAAGGTAATCTTCGATCCAGGGGAGACGGACGCTGCTTTCTGAACTGCAGATTCATGATGATGTACCCTACGGACCAAACAAGGTCGTGTGCTCCGGTTTCAGCTACTAGCAACATGAGAGCCTCCAAGCTGTTACCCTTGTTGTTCCAATGACGCGACAGAAGTTGAGTCTTGCTATCAATGAGGGGTGATGGCGAGGGAGACGATCTACCATGGAATCATAGAACATAACGAACTGATCATTGGGAGCTGGGAGGTCTTGTTTCTTGGTGGTTTGACACTTAAAAAGAGCAGTGACCTGGTAGTAGACTAGATCAAAGTACCAAGAGCCAGAACTAGCTAGCTTTTTGAAGGTTTCGTTTGTCCAGGGGGCGTGTCCCGCAAAGACTGTCCACATATCTTCGCCCCTAAAGATAACATCACAGAGATGATCTACGGCTTGTTCAAAGAGATAGTCGTGCTGATCCGAAAAAAGAGAGTGGCACAACTGTTTGATACAGCTGGTATCCCATTCCTTGGGGATACCGTGCCGCTCCATTGCCAGGGCGTACGATTGTCGAATGAGTTCCCTCCACGGGATAAGGTCCTGAACCACGAGAGAGGAATCATCCCAACCCATATCAGCAAAGCCTGGGACTCTGGACGGGGAGGGTAAGTCGAAACAATAGAGCATCTCTTCAACTGCTGGCCGCAACGCCGCCTCGAAGAGCATCATCATTCGGCTGTAGCTATGGGGGTTGGCGTCACCAATAGCTCGATTTAAGTGCTTCCATTCTGGCCACTTGTTTCTGAGAAAGGAGGATTTGTGTGGTTCATACTTTGGGTCAACATATGTTCTGGGGAGTTTAGCTAGGATATCCTCTGGAAAAGCTACTGCATAAAACCAGTTCTGTACATCTGTTGCTTGCTTGTCGTGAAGGTCCTCGTAAGTGAGATCACACAAAGCTTGCTGGAGTTTTGCAGTTGTATCCTCCAAGTATTCTATAATTGAGCGTTCATATCCCACTATAAGAGTATGATAATAGGGGTTGATAGCTTTCTGCGTCATCACCACCGAATAGGCGAACATAATACAAGCGGAGCGATTTACATGCCGCACACTTACCATGACTGAAAAAAGACGGAGACTGGCCACCATCGCATAGTTCCGACTCTTCGTTGAGCGGGAAAGGACATGGGAAACTGGGGAGCTCAAGCTGTGAGGATTTACTCGAGTTGGGGAGCAACTGCGATTGCCTAAGCTTATCGTAGTGCGTCTGGTACTTGTAATGACAAACACCGCAAGAGGTATTAGTACCTGCTAGAGCCATACACTCTTCACAAGGAAAAAAGAGTGAAGTGTCATCCAAGCCTCGGCCATGCTGACGCGTGTGGCGTCCTTCCTGCTGGCGATCGTCCTCTCTGCGGCGACGCGTAGAGTCCTGAACCAAATCATCAAACTTTGGGTCGTATTCGTCGAAGTCGCGCGCCTTCCACCATTTGTCTGGGCGATCCTTAGGGCCTCCATAGTCGATCCTGCTGCTTGCTGGGCGGCGGTAATCGTCCCAATGCGAACGGGAGCCCTTACCAGTGTCCCTAGAGGAGCTTGGCCTATCCCAGTAGCTAGGGTTCTTGCACCAAGAGCCTTTACCACCTTTGGGCTTAAAGTCTTCATCTGTATCCTGTTCTTCCTCTGCTTGGTTGCGGTACATGTCTGATTGGTAGCCTTTGCTGCGTTCGTTGCGCTTTCCTTTGCCTTTGCCTTTGTTGCGGGTAGTACCTTTGCCCTTTCTACCATAGTCCTCTAGGTTGATACCTAGATCAGAAACTGCCTGCTGAATCTGAGTTTGCATGCCCATAAAACCTTGGAGTATGAAGTTCGGGTTCTTCGAGAGCTGCGTGCAGAGCTCATCATTCAACTCCACTGGATAAATTGGATAGGGAAAAGAGCGAATTGCATCCTCCCTACTAAGGTTAGAGACATCCTTGGTTTGTGAAAAGTGATACCGAAGGGCTGTGGTAGCGTGACGGCTAGCCGAAGCATATGCCTGCATAAACTGGATAGTGCTTGAAAGCTTATCCCCAAAAAACCTGGGAAAGTGGGTGCGAACCTCCTCAAAAAACCGTGGAACAACCAAGAGGTAGCAGGCGTAGCTGAGATGCTTGTCGGGAAGGTAGAGAACCTGGGCCAATAAATTTTCTTCCGCGTTATCCCAGACTTGAAGGGAGTTGAAATCACATCTCAAATATTCATCCATCGCCGGAGGTTGAGGCTTGGTAAGGGAGTCAATCACAGCATGCAAGGGAGTACGCTCGATACGTTCCAACATAGGAACATCGCGTTCAATGCGCAGAGGTACATCATCTTGCTCATTGGAGTGGTACCAACGCTTCTTTTGCTTGAAGGCCTGGAAAAATTGCTTTGAGGTAGATTCCTGTAGGAATGTAATTTTCAAGAAGGCATTAGTGGAGGTGTTCACATGGTTCGAGGTGGTCTGAATATCGTTATCCGTTAGCTGAGCTTGCTGTAACAGGTAATACAAATTGTGATCGATTTGCGTCTTTGTGGTAAAAGGCGGCAAACCATGGATCAAAACAGTGCGACGAATTGCATCGGCTTCCAAACTTTGNNTGCAACGCAAGACCCTCATACCTGATTACGGAGCCCTGCCTATCTAGCCGGGAGATAACTTCTTGCCTAATGTGGTTTGACAACACGTCCAAAGAGGGCTGCACTGTCTGCTCGTGGTACTGCGCAAGTACCGTGCTGAGGTTGTCCATAGTAACCTGTGGGGGCGGAGTCTCAATACTGGGGAGAGGAAGGTCAATGTTGGTAGTTGGTAGTGGGCGTAAAGGAGATAGTAGCGGGATCCAGTCGAGCTACTTTCTTCGGGTTGCGTACAGTATTGTAGGCTCTAAGGAGTTCTGGGGAGTTTTGCAAAGCCTGGCGAAAATTTGGGTCCATGTCACCCCATTCAATAGGGTCTACTTCAGTATCAGGGGCGCTTCCTCTATTTGTGCTGGCTAAGCCCGTGAGACCTGACATTGCCGAAAGGGCAGGTGCATTCGCTTGCGTTCTGATAGTCTGCAGAAGGGCATCGAACATGGTTGTAGAGATCGTCTCTGGATCCTTGCCCTTCTGTATAAGGTGAATGGTACCATTGGTAAATCGGACCACTTGTGAATCTTCGCTCAAGGTAATGAGCTGACTGATTTCCTGAGAGGACTCTTTCGGCTCCTCCTTTGTGAGCAGAGCAGGCGGAGGCGCCTTCACAGGTACTCCTGGCGGAGGAGTCACCAATGGCGCTGGGGCGGCGTCTGCTGGCGGCGCTTCTGCCGTCGGCTGCCCGCTGGCTTCGGGCTGCGATTCCATGGCTGTCTGCGCTTCTTCCATTGTCCGAGTGTTTCGCCAAAGTGAAGAACTGTGAAAAAGCACCGAAGAACACAGGCACAAGTAGATGCACAAGCAAAACCACCACCGAAGAGGGGGCTGCTACGCTTCACGTTGAGCCTCTGTCACTACACTACACTACGCTACACTACACTACACAAGACACAGGACACGACAAACTACACACACTACAATACACTACACTACATTACACTCTACACACTACACAACTACGCTCTACACTACACTACACTGTAACTACACTACACTGTCACTACACTCCATTTTTACTAGCTACACCATCACTACACGACACTGTCACTACTCTGCACTACTGTGCTCTGCACTACACTGCGCCAGACGGCACTACACGACACGACATTAAACCACACGACACGACACTTACACAAAACTACAGATACACATGTATATACATACAGTCACGTACATAGTCTTGCATACGTACGGATTCTCTCATGCCGGTCTCTTTGGTGTTGCCCCTTGCCAGTCACACTCAAAGTATGCAACTCAATCTTGGTACATTTGCGACAAAAACAATGCGCGACGTCACGGGCTCGCGGGTACACGTGACCAACTCTGGCTTCCCTCACCACTCTAGGTAGAACATGCAAGCCCGATGTTCACTTCGATTTGCAAGCGCACACAGTTTAAACAGTACACACAGACGCAAAAACCACACACAAGCACGCCACCTGCCTGAATCGGCATCTATTTCTTGCTTCACCTGGAGGTACGAGAAGGCTTTTTCACATAGCCACATCAACAGAAAGATTACGTAATGCAAACTGCTTTGCGGGAGAGTAGAGCCAGTGTTCGATTTCACATCGATCTCTCATGGTGCTCATTGTGGGAGAATTTGCACCGCCCGGAGTCGAGCGCTCCTCTGCTCTGCTCCGCTCTGCGCCTCGGCCTTCAGCTCCAGCTTCAGGATCTCACCTTTCAGCGGCTCCTGCACTCGCAGGAGGAAATCCCAAGAGCAGCTTAGAGCACGCAAAGCGCGCGACTCTGCGCACGTAGCACTGGGATGTATATTTTTACTAGAAAGCGCGTCATGCTGCTATAGACCCGAAGTTGCCCGAGGGTAAAAGCTCGGCTGTGGGTACGAAACATGATGCCGGCACCTTGGGAAGCTCCTTCAAACCCTTGAGCTCACTTTCCTGGCGTGTCGGCATGGCTCAGTCGCAAGCCTCTCCCAAACACTCCCGGGACTTCAAAGCTCGCAAGAACGAGAGGTGGGACAGTTCCAAGAGCTTGTACTTTTATTCTTTCCAGCTTGGCATCACGGTGCGATGCGAACCTGACTGGCCGCAACTGCATGCAGCACTGTCTCAGGATGGAAGCCACCGATGAACATTGCTTGAGATCCGGACCCCAAGCCTTTCAAGGTTCCATCGCGAACGGCTTCGGCTAGCATGTCTTCGTTGCTTGTCACAACCTACCAGGAACAAGATTCGAAGATGTCGAAGTAAGAATCGCCCTCACGGCGGCCTCTTCGCCGAGCTCATTTCGCATGACCTTCTTTTGTGGGCCCATGGCCTTGCTGGCGGAATGTTGAGTCTGTCCATGGCCTGGCTCAGCTGAACGCGCCGGCCTCCCGACCTGTGTCTTCCTTCTTGGACTTCAGGAACTCCTGAAAGGAAGAGAGAGCGAGAGCATGCCGGTCTCCCCATAAAAAAACCCTTAAACCCTTGTCTTGTTTTCCAGCGACTGGACGGAGCATAGGAGGCTACCCGAGTGATTGGTGGCGCGCTGGTGCTGCTGCAGGCTGGTCATGTTCGGAAGCCAGCGGAAGCACTCCTGGCAGCGATGCCTGGCTTCGGACATCCGACTTCTGGTCATGGACCAAGCCGTGCGACCAGGAGATAGACGATAAAGCGAGAAGTTGGCAAACTGCTCCTGCACTGCCGTGCAATTACTGACGGCGATTTCATTCTGGCTCCGAAGGAGATCTGCAAGAGATCCCCCCCCCTTCAACGTGCTGCAGGCACCCGAGATCAGTTCACGTATCCGACGCGAAGACTTCTCTGACAGTGCGAAATTTAGGTTGCGACTGATCTCAATGGGGTCTTCAATCTTCAGGATGTCACGGAATCCTCTGAACTGCTTCCTTGGCAGGATCTTGAACTCAGAGTCAGTAGCTGGCAGCCGCTTCCCCAATCTCACGGATACCACCTCATTGCCCCAGTCGAACTGCTCCGAGAAAAACCTTGCTGCATCTCACGAAAACGGCCTAAGCTAGCGGTTGTCTTCATAGGCCTCGTTATGAGGGCATGATAGTAAGCCGGGATGCTCAAAAAAGCCACACAGCACATCTCCCAGGGAATGGTTCAGTTCTTGCTTCTGTGCGTTCTGCACAAAATCAAGGGCAAAGGTCTTGGTCGGCTCCGTTCCTTCTGCACGTAGATCTCCGGTCGGACACAAGATGTGAAGAGAGGGCAAGCCGTGACAGACCTGAAGGTAGTACACCTTGGAAGCGTTCCAAAAGCAAAGACACCTTGAGTTTCTTCCAGCTGTCTTGCTTTCAATCTGGAACCGCTTGCTTAATAGAAGTGCGTAAAGAAATAGCATTTTGCAGAAACTGGCTGGTGCAACTGCGTAGGTTCAAGGAGCGGGTTTCCTGCACCGTCACCTGGCATTTCGCCCTCCGACATGCATTCCAACACATCTGTGTAGCTAGGGGACATGACGAGTTCATGAAAAGCGCGAGCCCACACGCGTTCTGCTGCACAACAGGCACGGGATACACCAGGCGAATGGTGCGGGAGCTGGATCGGAGGGTGCCGATCGAGTTCGATGAGACTGCTCGACATCAAAAATCACCGAATGTCAACATCATGAACAGAAGGACTTGTTGGATGGCAGGGGTGAAAACTTATTGAAAAAAGACTCAAGATGCTCGAGACACAGTCATTAGTGTCCAAGCGTAAGATGAAATTGCCCCAGATTGTACCCGTCCAATCTTGCAGGCCTTTGCCCAGCGCTTGATGACCATGGACAGCACCGGGATTTCAGGCAGAAGGTCGACGTAGCTTCGAAGCAATGCCGTGTTAAATACTGGCAGCACATTCTGGCAGGTAAGATCACAGAGCACGCCCCGGATATCCAAACGGAGAAGCGGTCTCTTGGTTTTCTTGCTCAGCAAAGCCAGGGAGACCTTCACGCCGCGTCGAGACATAAGCGCTTTACGCAGTCCACGAAGGGCTTGATGAGGGGTTGGGCCAGCTTCTGGAAAAAACAACACCATGTCCACATCGGAACTTCCTTCGCAGAGTCCCGTCACGGAAGAGCCAAACGGAATAACCGAAAGCTTGAACTGACTCCAACGCTGTCTGGCGACAGCTGAGACCATGGAAAGTGCAGCCTGCTTCTTCTTGTACTCCTCCTTGTTCGGTGCGTTTTGCGAGGCAAGGCTCAGCATCTGTGCTTGCAGAGTCTGGGATGTCTGCCGGGGCGGTTTGCAAGAAGGTTGCAGACTGACCAGTTGACGAAGATCACTGCAAAGGCTTCCAAGGAAGAGAAGGGGAAGCCAACGTCTTGGATACGAATGTCCCACCTTCATGTAAGCTTCAGAGTTGCTGTGTTGCCAGCGACATCTTCGGTTTGGGATGCAGGCAGTGCAGACAAGTGCGACATCCAGCCGGACGAATGCCAAGCTAGTTTCTACTGTCTACCCCATTCACAGATGCTGCTGACTGAGTTTCCTGCGCTAGCCTAACACATACAGAGCCCTACGAAGACCTCTAAGAGCTCTGGAATCCTCAGAACCATGCAGTTCTGCGCCCCTGGCAACTGTCTGATCTCTACGCCCCAAGTCAAAGCTATGGACACCCTTCCTCGAGCAGTCCAGCATCTGCAGCCGAAACGGTGGTGTATGTCAGCACCAAAAGCTTGAATAACTACCGTGGAATCAGCAGAACCCTATGCCCGGGTCAGGTAAACTACACTTTCTTATTACAAGACCGCTGCAGCAGTGACCATTACCAGAACCTACCCAAACCTCTGCAGAGTGCATGTTTCGTTTGTTCACCAACATCTCAACACACGTTCTGTAGACGCTGAGGTCTAGCCTACTAAAGTTTCATACAATGCCAAACTCTAAAGCCTTGTGGCAAAACATGTCTACCACAAAAGACTGATACAAACTCTTACTTCGTACCAACTCTTCTGCGCGAGCTCTCAAGCCTCGCGGCTGTTAGTTTGTAAAACAAGCCCAAAGACACAATGAAAGTTGTTCATCTGATCAATCGGCCCTTTTAACTTGTCAATCATCCAGTTATCTGATAAGTCGGAACTCGCGACATTCGTGTGACACTTCCGACATTCAAGGGCTTGCAACTATGGAGTATTCGCTGACGGAATAACATAAGACGGTTATGTATACTAGGTTTGCGTTTGAAGAGCTTCCCAAGCTACAGCAACTGACACATAACGAGACTAACTAGTGTGTCCGCAGCAATCATTAACTCATGAATCACTTTGCCTTGCCTGCTCGTACCTCTTGATACAACCTGGACCCGACAGGATTTTCATTGAAGAACAATGTATCGCGACTGACTAACAGACTTGTGGAGCGGTGCTATGAAAAAGGCAAGCAGAACAGTACCAACTGCTCTAGGGAGTATACCCCGATACCATTGAGCGGCACAACATCACAGAACACAAACGCTGCATGCAGCCTCACCCTCGCCTCGCAGAAAATATCTTGACAGTATATATGATTTAAGCCGACTGCTTCACATCTGTCGACAGATTGTGAGACCTCTGCTTGACATGTTCTGGAGTCGATACGATGCACTAAATTGCTGTGACCTCCCACGCTGCCCTGCTGAGCCTTTGCACATCCCCACCAGTGACTTATTATCCACTCCGCTACGGAGTGCGGCAGAGGTTCACCGAGCAAACTACAGCAGAGCACTGTATCCGGTGTCTCAAAGCGGTCGTGCGAGCCACAATCAAGAATTTGGAAAATTATGATACAGCTGGCTAGCGGCTAGCGGTAGTGCTGTGAAAGAAGATCGAAGTAAGTGAATACTGTGCATCCTGACGGTCACACGAGACAGAAAATCGCGACTTTGATCACTTGCGCCCTCTTCCTACAAATATTGGCACGGGTCCTCCCCAATGGGGTGTTCACCATGTTGCACCAAGTTCTTGCTAGCCTTTAGTAACACTCGCCAAGGGAAACTTTGCAATGTGGCTGCTCCTTCAGCTCCTCCTGGCTCGGACGAATGTCAGCAAGGGGTATCAAGAAAATACACGTCAGCCTCGCTCATCTGCTTTTTTGCGAGGAGAAGCTTCTTGGGTTTTAAGCCCAATGCCTTGCACAGGTTTCACAAATCCACGTGCAGCGCCAACTCTAGAAGCCACTCCTCTTGCATCAGCTCCTCTTCGTAGGCCTTCGAAATGTTTCGAACACATATGTGAACTTCAGTGAATGAAAAGGCATACGGAATGTAACGATCCCTGCCTGCACAGCTCCCCGCTCTTCAGCGATGCTCGCCTTGGCACTGCAGGATCTCAATGCTACCAAGCAAAGCCAAGAAGCACAGCGTGCTTCATCAACATGGTTCTCGGTGGTGAACGGTAGTGTCTCGCTTTCTCGCATACCAATCGTGCATGTAGTACTTGCCGAATTTGCCCATTTGACCAACCTCGACTTTGCGGACAGCAAAACAGAGCGAGCTGCAGCTATGTTTCGGAAGTCCGAATTTCCAGCACGAGGCGATGCTTGATGTCTTACATGATGCGACAAAACAATGCAGGTGATCATGTTCTTCCATACCGATAACTAACCCGAAATGCTTTCGCTGACTCGATGGAGAATTGCATCAACCAGATGGAACCAAACCAATAGTCACAGGTCTCACATCGGGTGTGTTACAGCCAGAGCAGAGGCGCCTTCATCGACTGGCCGAGATACGATTCGCGATCCTGATATATTGTCATGCGAACTGACACATGCAAACCAGCCTTGCAATTAAATGTACAACTTCACCTTAAATCCTATATAATGCAAACCGACCATCCTTGTACTCCTGTTCTTTGATGGACCGCCATTGAAACTGCTCACGTCCACCCCGGCATCCATCTTTGACTTTCACCTGCGCGATCCCGAAAATCCGTCCCAGCACGGATCGAAGGCCGTCTAAGCGAAGCAAGGTCCACAAAGTCAACGAGTGGTGTTGTTTGTCACGAAAGACACATACAGTGGACAGACACCTGGCCTTTACGTCCACCATGCTGCAGCAGAACGGGCGATGCTCGCTAGATTGAATTTACTGGCAACGGCTCTGTTCATGTTGAATGCATTGTGTATTAAGCTTCAGTCCCCCTCAGTGCGTAGATGCGTGAACCCTGTCAAATCCGTCGATGAAGCTTTGGGCCCGTCTGCTGCCGAATATGAACATAAAACAGAACAACCGACTGACTTCAAAACGGGGGAACGACAACTTTTGTGCTGCAAGAACCTTCCGCACGTAAGACTAGTGGACAAAATGGGCGGCTTCCGGACTTTCACGCACGCATCAAACGGCATGAAGGTTGTTGACAAAAAGGGAGGCCCTATTAGGTTTGAACGTCGTGCTGCGTCGCGCTATTAACAACATTATGGTGCTGATTCCCATCAACACTTCAAACAGAATTACGAAACCCTTTCTTATTGCCGTTGCTTATGTCATATATGCGATTCGGTTTGTTTTGACAGGGCTTGCACTTGTGTTGCTTTGAGAACGTATTTTACACCCGTCCATAAAATAGAGAGCAACTCCCATTTGCACACGTCCTTTGGGCCCGGCTTGTTGAAGCTGCGGTGGTGGAATAAATACCAGCGACTATTCGTCAAAGAGAGCACAAGCGCAACGCAGAATGAGACACCCTCTTTTTTTCATGTGTGTGTCAACGCCCTCACACGATTCGTATGGGAGTAGCCGAGATTTGACTATCTGTGAAAACGCGAAGCAACTCTTTTCACTCCACTCTTGAGCCAAACACCGAAGTGTTCAGCAAGGTCTCTCGGAGTCTTGCGCAGTTCACTCTAGTGAATTCCGTCTCAACTTTGCTAAACAAAGGAGGAATGACATG